GAAATTCATTGGGTGGGAATAAAAGCTAAGAGTTAGATCTCAACAATGTTTTAAACCGCTCAGTAACGGTGAGGTACTTCGTAAAAAGGTAAACAAAGAAAATCTGGGTTCGTCTTACTGCGCACAATAGTCTGGACACGAAAACAATAATTAGGAGGGCAGGGGGAGAGGGTATTTGATAAGCGTCTTTAATCAACGATTTGTAATACCTACAATCTAAGAAGAAAGATAAAAGATTTCATTAAAAACTAATGAAATACAATGAAGTCGCAGAAAGTGAGTAATTTCTTATGAACCCCTCTAATCTGGAGTTTTAGAACGTTATCCATGACTTTAAAATTGGAACTAGAACTACTTAAGTTAACTTGTACGTATCTCAGTTTTCTTCAGAGCAATGCGATTGAAAAACAAAGAATGCGTATGTTATCAGTTTTCTGATATATATTTAATTCCACTGTTGGTCTTCATGTTTCATCAGCAGATTGCGATATTCTATACCGAGGAAATCAAGCAAGTTACAAGATCTCTTGGAAGACACAACCAAAGCTGTGACAAAAATGTACACGTACCTCGGAGTCCGTAATGAGGCCAGTCTCTAAACACAAAAGAGTTACTCAACATGTTGGATACAACAGAAGCTGCCATTACAGAAGCAAAAGTCTTCCATGAATCGTTTGAAGTTGCAGCGCCATGTACAAAACCACAAACACCTTTAACGACAAGCCACTCAATCTTCAAGTCGTGTGCTGCTGCAAAAAAGCCTGAGGTAGAAAAATGAAAAAAAAAACCAATAAAAATTGAAATGGATTTAAACAATGATATTATAGGGAGATAATTACGATTCATTTGAGCAGAAGAGGCTTCGTTTTTCTGCAGATCAATCTTTTTATTTTTTCTTTTGCCACCGTATTTCTTTAAGGAATGTTGTTTTTTTCTACAGGTTTATAAATTAGCACCACCCTTCCTAGTGAGTATAATGAGTAGAGCAGGGTACCTTTTTGGTCAGATGCACTATATTAAAGAGTAAGGATTTGGAATTCAGGAAAGAATATCCTCGAACAAAAAGTATTGAGTACCTCACCTCACACAAAAACCTGGCTTAATAGTCTAACAATCATGAGCTTTGAATGGTTCAGAGGTGAGGCTTCAAAATATGACAAGTTGGAGGGTACACTGCAATACACATTACCATTGTACACCTGAGCTTTCCACTGACCCCCTACAATAAATTTATAGGTACTTCCCCTTCTCCTGGCTAGTTTAGCAACCAGAAGCCTCCTGTAGTTCAGAGCTAAAGCTAAAGGACATCAAAGTGGAGGGTACGCGGTAATACTCATTACCATTGTGCACTTGTGGTGATCACTCCCCATACAAAATTGCTAACTTTCTCACTTCCTTCAGAAACCTGGCCTTACAGCTTAGCCATCAGAAGCTCCCTTCTGACCCTGTAGCTCAAGGGTAAAGCTTAAGAACATGAAATTGAGAGTGCCATGTAATACACATTATGTTTGAGGACCTGCACGACTACTCATAATTTATTTCTTGCTCGCAGTGCGCTTTTGTAAATGACTGAGAACAATCATCTTCTGTTACTGAGCCACTGAGATGAGATCAAAAAGTTATATTATAGAGAAATGAACGATAATCCCAACAAATTTCACTTATGCCAATCAGTACTTAGGCCCAAAGCGCACACATGAAAAAAAGTTTACATAGAGTTAATTGACGGTGGTCAGCTTTGTGTGAGTGATCCTAGTGACATTTTATCACACTGGACATGAGGAATACATGTAATTCTTCTCATGGAAAAACAATGATCACAAATGCCAAGCAAGAGTAACCCTGAGAATAATTCTCACCTTTTCCTTCCATTTCAACTGCAATTGCCCCAGGGTGTAAATGACACTGCTGTTTGGCACCATTCAGATCACAGCAACTCAAAATCTCTCCATCACGATGGACATTGACTTTTCGTGCTTCTGGGTTTTCTAATGGTGCCTCCCATCCATCAGCTGCACTTCTGATAAGTTTGCCAACATCTCTACTCACTGGGGTTTTGTTAAAATATGTTGCAAGCATTGAGGATAACACCACATCTCCTAACTGGGCTTTGTCAGCATTCAAACTGTAGCAGAAACCAACCAAAAATGTAGCCTTGGGATTCAGGAGTGTGACAGCATTTTTAGCAGCAGTTTGAGAACCTCCAGGATCTGCAGATTCTTTAGAACACCTCAATAGGGCAACTTTCAGTGGCCCATCTTCTTCACCTATCTTTCCAAAATACACATATCCAATGGATCTCTCATAGCTTTTAAAGGGATCGCACAGGTAATGATAACAAGCCAAGAGCTCGCAATCCTCCACAGTCAAAAGCAGAATGTCAACTGGAAGATGGTCTCTGCTCCATTGTTTCATCTTCTTTGGCAGATCTCTTGTCTTCTTCAGTGTAATACTCAGAGGTGGAGGGTCATCACTGCAAACCATTGAGCTGCTGCTCTTACTAGGCCCTGCCATTATAACAGACTGGATCTGTGTTCAAAGTTTCCCTAAAAGTGACCATATGAAATTAGAAAGTAATTCAAAAAGAGATAAACATAACTTATTTGTAGACACGTTTGCTTATCAGCATGTGACATATCTTACAGGTGATCAAAGTGTGTCCATGGCAAATGCTGATATGCCAAGCCTAAACCACATCCAGTACCTGGCACTGAACATAAGAATAAAGGAGATAAGTCTCTAATAAAACTGTGCTGCTGTGTTGGTGGGAGAGAATAACAGGGTAATTAAGTATTACCAACTGAGTTGATAATGTAAATTGGCTACCACAAGGGGTTTTAAAGCTGACGTTGCAAGCATTAGCCCTTCATCAGTGGCTCTGACAAACGGTATTACATTTCAAGAACACCCTTGCTGCTGGGACCTCCACATTTACAACCTCATAACCAAGCAAGCACTTGGCTGTATATATTGAGGGTTTGCAAGCTTTACAGCTATTATCAAGATCAACTCAACAAGTTAATTGACTCCCTCATTTTATCCTTCTTTGTGTATAGCCTGGAAGTCTGGGGATTTACAAAATCACCACCACAAAAAATCATCAACCTCAAGATCTGTTGTCGCCGAAACAGACAAGAACACTTGGGAAAAGGGGCACAAATTCCAACTCCCCCAGATAAGAACTGAAATATACAAAAACTCGTTTATAAACAGATATCTTTTCAAACTTGTGTGATCAAATTCCGTTATGTTTGATTACCCTTTTTATCTCTTTTTATATCATGTTGTAGATATCAAATTGTCTCTATTATTTGTGATTTTGCCTGTAAACTCACTTCTCTTGAGTCTGATCATCATCAAGTATGCTCCATATTTCTATCTCAGACTACAAATACAAAGTTTTCATTAATATTTCACTATAAACCACAGTTTAAGATTTCAAAGTGCAAGTATTCTAACCATTAAAACATTTTTCCCTCAGACGTGTAAAAAATTAACAGTGGTGTCCCACTAGCTGCACATGCAAAACCACAATTTGTGGTTTATAAACAGGTGCTGGTCTAATGTTGATAAAACCAGAGAAAATCAGTCTTTCAATCAAGAGTGCCTTTTGGAATAACTCCTAATTTTTTAATAAATAAAAATGACCATAAGACACGAATAAAAGAGGAGCAAGACTTTGCTGACTTTCACGGCTAAGCAGCCAAGTTACAAAGTACAATTCAAAGTTACAGCTACCCCAATAAAATTTTCAGAATGTATAAAGACAATTTCCAACTGTTTAGATATACTCTTTGTCTTCTCAAAAAAAATGAGGTCAGTGGTCTTCAGAGACATTCAGTCACCAGCCACATAAAAACACTATTTGGCAAAATCTAAAAATTTAATTCAGATTTAGACAAGTGTTTCCATCATGATCATAATCATCATCATTTTTTTGGTAATGCAGGTTAAAACAAGTTTGGTACACAAGTTGATCTAGTACTAACTTTCACTGTGAAGAGATCCAGAATTGGTTGTGGTTCAAAGCCATTTTACTGCTTTTTCTAATCTAGGCATGGTGTGTAATGCCTGCTTCAGAAAAGTGTAACCAGCGAAAAATGCCAGCCACTAGTGCTTCTACAGAACAAAGATTCACTTGGATGAACATTATTAGATTACCGGGTACTTAATTTACTGCCCCCTTAGTCCTACTTTGTTTTGTTTGATTTTTGTTTTTACGAAGATTTTAAACCGTTAAGTTAGTTAGTTAGGAAGCCCTTCTTATAGGGATAACCTCAGGGGTCTCCCTCTCAAATATTGGATATTTGTGTTTGAATCAAGAGTTATTATCATTATTATTTTTGTAATTATTATTATTATTATTATTTTAATAGTGGCGTTAGAAGTATGTTGTTTTGTAACTCCCTTCAGATTCAAGAGATCATGATTCCTGTAAGCCAGTTACCTCAAGAGGGAGGAAAAATTCATACTACATGGCCTAAATTTTGCTTATTGCAGGAAATTCATGTCATTTTTCATTATTCTTAAAAAGAAAAATAATTAAGGAGAGAAAGGGTGGACTTTTTCATTCTCAACCACCAAGTCTTGTTTTGGGTTGTACTCAGAATGGATTTTCCCTTAAGTTAAAAAATAACCTCAAGTTCCTTAAACTTTGTGTAACAATGAATTGAGCGTTGTAATATTTATTACCAAAAGCTAACACCTAAATGTGCACAAGACCAAGATATTTTTTCCAAATTGCCTCATTTTCATGTTTTCCTTTACTACCTGACTTAAACTCCAAAAAGACCCCTAGTTTTTCTTCTCTTTTGCCTTCATCAAATAACTGTGTATGCAGGTATGGACCTCAACAGAAACACTTCGTTTTATTTCCTGCAATGGTCTATGAATTCGCAAAGTTACAGTTTGCAGAATATTAACTCCAATCCCAGTTAAAATGTAGGTTTATGAATAAAGAGATTTTAGTGACCTGAGTGCAAGTCAAAATATACTTGTCAATAATAAAATTTGAGACTAAAATTTGCAAACTGAAAGATGAATGCAATTTGTTACTCATTTTGATAAAACCTAACCTTTGGCCACTAAGAGAGATTAAGATTGGAAATTTACAATGTTATTAACCTCAGTTCACATCTTAAGACATTGTAAAACTCACCCATGCTGCCAGAAGTTATTCCTGTATTCAGAAACTTTTTCCCTTTTTGGATAGTTATTTGCCAAAATAAAAACTATTTTAAAACATCATTTGGCACAGGAAAGATGCATTTATGATAGTCCTTAAGATTTTACATTATAAACCAGCTTGCCAAAATTTAAGTATCTTTATCAATTTCCCTCAAATATCTAAGTTCATTTGATAATCACATGTAATCTGTGCTTGTATTGTTTCTTTTTACATCAATCATCATCATTTCCAGGTAATTGGTACAAGTTGTACCTCCAAGTGATATTCACAAATTTACATATCATAACATATGATACAAAGCAAGTCTTAGTAGGTAAAAAAATCTAAATCAAACATAAAAAGCAAATGTACATACTTTGTGTTTCCATAAATCTGTAGTAATCAATAATTTTTTTGTCAAAATTACTGAGGGGAAATTGGACTGACCTCAGTTAGACATAAGTTTTGCTTTTAGTTCAATTTCAGTATGTGGAGGTCAATCTCAGTGATGATCCTTGTCAGCCTGCGTTAAATCTGTCCGGAAAAAATAAATTCGTTTTTTAGCATATTAAATATTGTAGCACTGAGCTTTTAAAAAGTATAGTGTACATTGGCTTTGCCCTGGTTATTATAAATTATTCTAAAGAGGAGACAGAAGCACAATTAGTGCTATGACTTACGTTGTTATGACCTGTAAAAAAAGGGGAAAATTCAGAGTATTTAATCAACAAGAAGTAAAAGAAAATTTGAAACTGTCTTAAAATTGGTTATAGATGATACTTACCTTGTGAGTGAAAGGGTTAAAAGGTGATGCCTTCAGTTGTATCAATATATCTTGCATATAACTATTTACAGGTAGTGAGGCTCTCAATAAATAAGAACATTTCTCATACTTATACTGTACTGATGAATGATCTTTTTCATTCAGATTAAAAAGTAACCTCAGGAGAATAAACTTAGCCCAGAAGACGATGGTAATCGTACATTAAAGTAAGCGGTATCTTACAGACATTTCCCGTTTTTGGTTGCAAAGGAACTACTTTTCAGGTTCAGTGACATTCATGTACAAGAAGAAATGGTACAGAGGGTTGCAAGACTCTTTTTCTGGAAAAAGATTAGGGTTGCTAGAAGTTTTATCGCATATTTCATTAAAGGGTAAAGTTTTATTAAAGGTAAATACAAATTAAACTTAAACGTCTCTACAAAAGGAACGTGATTTGTTTCAAGATATCAGAGAAAATCTTGCAGTGGAATTAAAAAACAAGGAGCTTACAATGGCTGATAAGACTTAAAATAGTTCAAGAAATGAGATTTGAATTCTTAATAAACATAAATTAAAGATTAACAATTAAAGACTAGCTCACCTTGATATTGGCGTTCTCCGGTCGATCGACGCGGAAGTGAAGATCGTTGATGTTGCTGTATCTGATCCAAATTTCTCACAAAACACGAGTCAGGATTACACGTGCATCTTTTTCGATACACTGGTTTATATTTAAAATTTCACGCAAGTCCCATAACAATTAAAAGTCTAAACAAGCACGACAGTTAGAGCTTCTCCGCGTTTGTATTTTCGAGCGCTTTCCCATTGTTACGTATATGGTTTTCATGACCGTATTTGGAGAATAATGTCTGTGTACACTTACATGACGTATTGATTAAAAAAAAAGAGTTGATTAAAAAGAAGAGTTTTTTTTCATTAGCAAAAATGTGGATCTCAGTTGATGAGTGTCTTTCCGAAACACGGTGTCAGAAGTGATTTTTTAATCTTGTAGCGAGCTGCAATGCACACAATTAATTAGTTAGGCTTCCAGTCCGTTCAAGTAGTGTTAGGAGCGAAGCGCAGCTAAACCACTACAGCCGTACAGCGATTTCCTTCTTTGACCACGTGCGTGGAAAGCGTAACGATATCGGATACTGAAGAAGCCCTTCCACCGCCAGCTCCACAAGCTGTTTCCGCCGGTCCACACGCTTCCCCATCGCCTCAGATATACAATTTCCCTACCAATTTCCCTGTGCCAGCAGCAATGGTTTGTCGTGGGGATATTCCGAGTAACTGGGAATTTTTCAAGCAACAATGGCAAGATTACGAAGTAGCGACTGGTTTGGATCAAAAGAATCAACAGGTACGGTTAGCAACGTTCCGTTCCGTTATGGGAAAAGAGCGCCGGCAGAGTTTTAGGAATCTTAATTTTGGCCCTAGTAAAGTTACTATTTCTTCAGCAGGAAGAAGGAGCTCTTACGGAAGAAATGATACGAGATAGATACAAGATAGATTAGTCATTGGAATCAAGATAAGAATGCAAAGGCTAGATTGCTTCTAGAGAGAGCTCTGTCCCTGGATAAAGCAGTTGACACGTGTAAATCAAGCCAA